GTATGAAAATTATGTTCCTGCTTGTAAAATCATCTGAAGGCATCCTGTTCTCATTCCCAAATGCAAGCAAGAGCATAACTCTCAGGAAATGTTTGCAGTTTCCCAACATTGCATTTACATTTGAAAGTGCATAGTTGTGTGTGCTCGCACACATCTGGAAATGCATCTGCCCAGCCCCAAACTGCATTTTCATGCTCTAGGCTGTGTGTGTGCTTGGGGGTGGGGAGAGGGAAGGATATTTGGGGTGGATTCTTGGAAACATCTATTTTTTATGTTTGAAAGGGTGCCTCCTTCCAGGATGCCCATGTTCTGGAGTGAAAATGAGGAGGAATAAACAATGAAGCAGAAAACAGAGAATCTCAGTTAGCACAATATCCAGTTCTTCCCTCCCTTTGATAGACAGCTTGCAGCCACACACCAAACATGAGGCTCACAGGATCAATTTTGGTGTTTGCTAGAATGTCAAGGTGTAAAATACTAGCTCAAGAAATCTCACATAGTCCCTTCCAGTCACATCCAAATCGGTTCCTATCCTGCACCACCCCCCCACAAGGTTCCTTGATTTCACAGCCTGGTTTAGTTAGGAAGCATGTTTTGTTGCTGCTGGTCTCTTGCAAACTACCCACAGCTATACCAGCAGATTAGTCTACTTCCCCCTATATCGAAAGGACACATATGATGGAGCTAAGTTTCACAAACATCAGAAGGAAACCCTCACTGGTGTAACACAACCAGGGCTTGAAGGGCTTTTTGGTTAGTGCGTATGATGACTTCACCTACCAACACCCTTCCCACCACTGTTCCCTCTGAGTTTAGCTGCAGTCTTTACAGTAGATTTTTGTGAGTGATCCCACCTCGACATATTAAGCATGCAAACAATACAGGTGTGGTTCAACAGCACTGCCTACTATCTTGGACTCCTTGTGGAGTGAGGTATTGGGCCTGTCCTGATGAGTACCTGCACATCTGAAGTTTTCCATTATACCACTGGAAACTCTCACTGCTTTCTTTATTATATCTCTCGCCTGCATTTTTCCCTGCAAAAATCCCAAAATAGTTTTCAAAATCCCAAAATAGTCTCCTCTCTGTTTTATCCTCAAGAACAACCTTGTGAGAGTCAAAGACTGGCCCAAATTCACCCAAGGAGTTATGTGGTAAGTGAGGACTAGATCCTGGATCTCCTGAGTTCCATTCCAACGCTCTGATCACTTACACTGCACTGGCTCTCTTGTTTTCGCAATGCATATGCAAGAAGTTGCCTTATGGGAGACCTGGAATGAAGCATTCTGCTTTGGCCAGATTTCCCTTGGAGTGCCTGTCAGTCATGTCCGTGTTTCACTAGAAGCAAACACTGGTACCTTCCTGGTTAGAAGTGCCCCTCTTTCTACTTCCAGGTAGGCCAGCCACTGCTGAGAGAACCCCATGTGGCCCTTAGCTCCTGGTATTCCAACACATCACTTGCTTGGGCAAAAAGCTCACCTTATTTTCAGTGCTTGTACTTGGGCACCCCTTACACAGCTCATCCTGCCAGCAAAGCATCATTGACCTGAGATGACTTTAGCAGATTAAGCGCGAGCTCTCAGAAGCACTTCAGCTTATGGGGTAGAAAAGCCTGCAGTCGTGCCACTGCTGACAAGTGAATTATATTTTACCAGACTTACAACAACAGTGACTCTTTCTTGAACCAACCAAGGCAGCTAACACAAACACTCAGAAAGCAAGAATGAGAAACAAATGTAAACAGTGGAAAATGTTAAAAACAACCTTACAAAGCCATAACAATTTGAAAGATAAAGATTCTGAAAAGATACATCTTGGCTCCTTTCTGGAATGCAGAGAGATTCCAGTGGGAGGGTCATCCAGAAGTTGGCGCAACGCAACAGAAAGTCCTTTCCTGCATGCCTGACAAAGAGACCTTGGCAAGTGAGGCATTCTTTAGGACCAAAGAAGGCAGTCCCTCAGAGAACCAGGTTCGGCATTGTTTAGGATTTTAAAAGCAAAACCAAAACTCTGACTTGAGCCTGGAAAATAATTAGCAACTAGTGCAGATCTTTCAGCACTGGGTTGATGGTCCCACTGCCACACACTGGTTAGCAGCCCAGCTGCAGCATTTCAAACCAAACAAAGCTTCCTGATAATCTTCAGGAGTAGCTCCAAAGAGGAGCTCATTGAAGCTCTCTAATCAAGGTGCAGAGAAGCCTTGGCAGAACAGACTGACTGAAGAATGGCCACAGCCGGCTCACTGGAGGCCGTTATGCCAATGTCCTGCTTGCTGCCACTGCCCCTGACAACCCATGTCCATAATGCTTGACAAGCTGGATCAGTATTCATACTCTAGATTTGTGATTGCTGGACTGTAATGTTGAAATAAAAGTTTTTTTCTGAATTTTGTTAGTCATCTTGAGTGCTCTTAGTGAAAAAGCAGCTGTACTGGGATTAATGGGGAGACATTATGATGAGTAGTTAAGTGTGAACTGTATCCAGTGTTCAGAAGAAACCCTTAAGCACAGCGGCGGATACTTGTGAGGGTTAATTGCTGTCAGAAAACCCGCAAGGCTGCAGGGAAGGTTTGAATGCACCCACTACTGGGCTCTGGGAATTCTACACCACATTCCTGAGAAAAGGATAGTTTTGCTGGAATGAATTGGATAGCTGGATTTTAGCCTGAAATTTTTAAGGACTATTCTTGCTGCAGAACCTATGCTGGGGGCAGCACCCAGCACCAGGAATAGCTCTTTCATTGTTATCTAATGTTATTTATTTAACTGAAGCTCTCTGGCCAATTCACAACAGTTCCTAAACAGGACCCAATACAATGAAAAACAATATTTTCAATCATGTTATATTTTTTTAAGTTTTAAAATGTAAAGCAACATCTAAGAAAGTACTTAGATGAAACACACCTTGAAAATTTAGACAAAACTGGAGTGGAAACACCATTCCATGGACACTGGAGCGTCCGCCTCTGTCAAATTTATTTGAGCTCTTTGTCTGAGGATATTTGGGTGGTTGGCCCCTATTTTATTCAAACAACAACCCTGTGAGGCACATCAGACTGAGAATTCATCAAGATCTGGAGGTCACCCAGTGAACTCCCTGACAGTCTTTCCATTTGCCTCACGTAAAATGCTTTGTGCAGCTCTTCCTGCCTCGATGCCTACTCAGTCTAGGGCTGCAAATAAGAGAATTTATGCTGCAACACAGAAAGCAACTCTCCTCTGTAAATAACAGCTTCACTTCTTGGTTTGCCCATACATTAGCTGGCCTAACAATATTGTCTATTTTTATTATACAGGCATTTGATCCTATTTGGCTCTTTCCCCTACAATATTATGCAGATCTCAACAAACCAAGAAATCGACTGACCACCTAGAAATCCAATCGCTCCTGCCACTTTAGCTGCGTGGAAAGTACTTACTAGGTCTGTAGATCAATTACAGTGGCTTTGCCATTGCTCCAGAGGAGGGGGCAGCAAAACCTAAGCAGAGTGAGCACAAGGCAGGACAGAATAATGAAGTTGAAGACAGACGCCAAAGAGGGGAGATTCCTTACGGGGACAGTTATACTCTGGAGCAGTGGAGGCTGGTGAAGTGAGTCTGTTCTGGGTGTTATTCCAAACTTCAAAAGGGCCATCTGTGTTGAGGAACCCATGCTCAAAATAGGTGCAGGACCATGAGCAGCTGCTCAAAAGATCAGACTGCCACCTGGAGTGGAGACACTGCCCCACTGCTCTTGAGCAAAGCTCTCATTATGGTCCTCAAGTAGTGTTTTTCTGGGCTCATCTCTGAAAGTTCAGTTTTAACTGTCTTCAGTTTTAGGGCTGAAGTCATTGTGCAAAACTCTGCCATGTATTTCTCCTGTTAACTTGGCTTTTTTTGGAGGGGGCGGGCTCCTTGTTTGGACAGCCTTCTGATCTTGTCTTTGGAACTAGCTTTGATTAAATTTTTGGAGCTCTGCTTTCCCACAGTGGTAAACAGGACAAAAAAGGAGAAACTGGCCAGTAGGGGTGTATGAGCTTTGGGGCTGGAGACCCCTAAGTTGGTAAAGCTCCTCATCCATTGCAGCTTTACTTTAAACTTTGTAAGAGTTGTCCATGACACTGGGCTCCATTCTCCAGATAGCTTCACCACCATAGAGCACCATGGATAGCTTATGTACAATACAGAATAAAAGCTGCAACAGATAAGAAGCCCCACCACACAGGCATCCCCAGCCCTGCCTGTGAATTTGTTTTTAAAGAGCAATCAGTGGTTCACACATAAGATCAAACCAGGAATCAGCTAAAGCAAAACAGAACCCCAGTTCATTCCTGCTCCTATCCATGGGCAAGCGAGATATAAAAGAGTGAGATTTCACCAACTTTCCCTGTTTAGGAGAAATGCATTTTAAACTTAAAATGCCATTGATGCAGACTATATTTTTTAGTGAGCCCTGCTCTTTAGATTTCTGCCCCCCCAGCCCTCCATATCCCCACAAAATGCAAATGACCCTTTGAGGCATCTGATGTTGTAAAGCCTAGTCCACAGGGGCACCTGTTCGTCTTGCAAAGTGTGCAAGACACTTTGCTGTTTTGCACTGCAGCTGATCCATCACAGAGACCCCTCTGGACATACACCCTGACAGTTCTGCTCCCTGCAACAGAATCTTGACACCACCCCATTGACTTTATCATTGAAGGAGAAAGAAAATACTGACTTCTATCAAACTTGGTACTTTTTTTTATTATTGGCTAGAGAAACGGGACTTGGCATAGATTTAAATATGTTTTTTAAGTTATCATAAATGGGAAAAGAAGGGTGTGGGGGCTGACCCAGTGGGCTCGATGTTTTTGATGTTGGATGTTGTCTGTAGTTTTTTTGTTTGTTTGTTTTTTAGGATAATCTCAAATAAAACTTATAAAAAAAAAAAAAAAAAGAAGAATCTTGACGCCAACCCAACCAGCTCCTTCCAAGAAAATGCATGGCCCAAATAATTGCATGAATAAAGGTAGCCCAGGTTACCTGCCCGTGACTTCAATATTGGACACAGCATAGAAGTATTTATATAAGTTCTCCCGTTGCACGAAGGTGCCCCCAAGCGCTGGTCTCAGAAGCCTCATCCGCAAGTCAGTCGCAGTGAAGAAGTCCTTCAAGCCCTTGGCGCTCTCCAGCCGCGTGTAAAGATTGTCCATGTTCCTGAGCTCCGGCCCAGCAAAAATGGCGAAGCGGTCCCTCACCTCGAAGCGCACGTTCTTCTCTTTCTTGGACCCTGCCCAGCGGGAGTAGTCCTCCGTGCAAATGATCCTGTTGGCGCTGGTAGCGGAGAGATCCCGGACATTTCGGGCCTGCATGCCGAAGGCTTCATTGCAATCATCTGCATAGTACTGATAAGGGTGCCAAGTCCTTCCATTGTCCAAGGACTTCTCCAGCAGCATCATGGTGGGGCGCCCATACTCAAAAGTCACCACAATGTCGTCTGTCAGCTCAATGCTCTTGTTCCAAGAAAGTGTGATGTTGGCCCGCAAAGGCTCTGGGTAGCGACTCCACGTCACGCTCTGCCAGTATGTGGCCAGGCCCTCGTCTTCCTTATCAAACATCAGCTTGGGTGGATGGGCCAGGTCAGGGTTGGAGGCGTCACATTCATCACTGCACAGGTACGGATTTTCCTTAAAGGGGAACAAAAGTAACAGGGGAAGAGTGGGATAAACGGCCAGTGGTAAATTTACAAGTACAGGAGCTCAGCAGGGCAGTCTCACCTTCAAGGAGAAGCGATAGCTTCACCGCCAAAGAGAAGCCACAGCCGTATCCCCAAGGAAAGTGCAAAAGTGCAGGTTGGCTCATTATATGCCCTAGTAGCAAAAGCATCAATCTCATGCCACAACATCAAGGTGCTGAAGGTCCCTAGCCCAGTCTCCAAAAACACTATTTTGAAATCCAACTACCTACATCTGGTGTCTCTCTTTGTACCCCTTGGAGAAGGCGTTGGAAACACACAATGGTGCACATATGGTGCTGTGTAGGTGTGCTGAAATGAAACGAAATGAAACAAAACACCTGGGATTTCCATTTGTCTTTTTTTTCTGGAGGTTAAGCTACAAAAAATAACATGGCTTTGACCAACTGGAAAAAATAGAATTTGTCCCCTTTGAGGGTTGCAGGAAGAAACTGTTTAAGTGTTATATGCTAGGCTGAGCATCCCTTAGGAACTGAAGTGTGCCATGATAGGGACTCTGGGAAGTCATCAGAACAAATTTCTGGTCCTCTGAAGTGAAGCCCACTATCTTATCTATGCAAACTCCAGGAAGTGCCCTTGCCTTTGGATTCCCAGGAGCAGGCATCAGATTCCTCTAGCAAACAGGGAGAGGCTGGCATGTGGTTGTTCTCCAACTTATCCAACCTTCATTGTTGTATTAAAAGTTCCCATGATTCACCTCTGGGACATAAGTGATGGAAGAAGGGCTGCTTTCCCCCATATGAAGCTGCCTTTACACAGAGATCCTTCTTTGAGGCCATACTCCAGCAGCTCTAACTCTGGAAATTAAGCATGCAGTTCTTCATTTAATCAGCATATTTCTCCCACACCTTCATGGGACTCAAACAACATGGTGGTGGACTGGGAACCACGGCATCTCCAGATGAGGCTGGGAAAGGGCGCTACTCAAAACTTTGGGGAACTGCTGCCAGCTGGTATCAAAGATGCTCACCCAAGAAGGATCTGGCTCGGCATAACATATGTAGCTGCCTATGTTTCCAGGTAGCTCTTGGGCTCTCTAACCTTTCTACTTTTAATTTTGTATGCATACCTATTAAAATAAATTGGCAAAGCACTATCTTTAAACACTATCTTCATTTGGGTTCAAAGGGATGGGTATGTATTTTGCAGCGCAGACCTCCACCTTTGCATGGGACTTAGGTTCTTTCCCCTCACCAGTAAAGGAGACCTATGTCAGTGAGGGTCCCCATCTATTGCAGCTTTTCTTGTGAGCCTGTGTCAGGTATGGAGTTCAGAATCAGGGATAGTTCCTATACAGCTGAAAAGAAAAGCTGCTGTGGATAAGAAGTGTCATTGACATTGGAATCATGAACTGCCTTGGCTCACTAGTTTGCTTTCTGGGACAACAGTGTTTTGTGATTGGCCAAGTCCAGCTTGGCAGCCTTATTTAGAATGAGCAAACCTGCCCCCTGCCCCATGACTACCATTTTCAAATGTGCCCACCCACCAAACCACTTGGGGACCACTGTGTGGAAAATGGTTTTATTCTCCCAAGGTTTGCCTGGAATTTTAATTCTGACCTCTTGGGCCTCCTTGCTGTTGAGATGGAGGTTGTGAAATTATTTGAATTGTCAGTTAGTTTACTCTATTTGTAATGTTTTGCATTTCCATTTGTCAGCCACCTTAAAGGCTCTGTGCAGAAAGCCAAGGCATATAGACATTTCCTAAATAAACACACCCTGTGCTGCAGAGAATTATTCTCCAAGCAGGACTCAAAAGTTGCACTGATGATCTGATAAATATCAACTCTATTTTTAAATGCCAGATCAGTGATGCTCAGATGGGGGGTCCCAGTGCAGCATAGCATCCCACATAACTTGCAGGAGTCTTGCATCTTAATACATCCCACCAGCCGCGCTTCTCACATCCAGGTGAAAGGCCTGGTGATCAAGTCTTAAGAGAGGAGCTTAAAGGAGCTGAGTTTTAGCCTGGAGAATAGATCATGAAGAGGCAACCTGACAGCCATCTTCAAGCATTTGAAGGACTGCCAGACAGAGGATGAATACATTCATTTTATGTTGCCACAGAGGAGAGATCCCCAACCCTTGCCTGTGCTGGCTGGGGAATGTGGGGATTGCAGTCCAGCATACACGAAGAACACCAGGTAGGGGAAGGCTGATCTTCCCCAAGGGCAGCCTAAGACATTTTGCTATCTGAGGCAAAGGAGTTGGTGCCCCATCTTCCCTGTGGATTTTGGGATGCACCTGAAGGAAGCATGCTACATAGCAAAAGGGTCTCTCCCCCAACACTTTGCTGCTGCCTCCCAGAAACTGTTATCTGAGGCTACTACATCACTGTGCCTCATGTTGGGGCTGGCCCTGATCGACACGTGCATCCATTGCCATGTCTGGTCTAGCTTCTTCTGCACACACTTTGTGACTCCCTATTTGACCTGTGGACTTCATTGGTTTTTGAATGCTGAGCAATATCTCCGATATTTCCATCATCCGTGCAATGACAGAATTAGAATTAGTGCAAGTGTGTTCACAGGGCATTGTGCAAATCCTCCAAAATATGCATTTTGTCACAGTATCTCTGGTGTGCATTTTTGGTCAGTTGTGTGTGTGTTTTAATTTCAATATGTTTCTACTACTACATTTGTGCAAAAATTAAGGAACGCGAGAAAAACAGGTTTCTAGCCCCATGGAATCTGTGATATGCAAGAAAAATCAGGCCACCGGGGAATCTGAAAGTTAGATTCATAGAAATATGAAAAGATTTAATCCATTATGGGTTTCTCCAGCATCCCTACTAATGCTGTATCAAACACAAAGAGGGAAACAAAACTGCAGTAAGACCCGGCTGTCTGGCATGGTTCAGAGGTACAGTTTTACACTGCATTCAGAGATTCCTCCTGCACAGCATGGTGTAGGGATCTTAAGCTACAGCTCATGCTTTGGACAGTGCCATATGTGCTGATCCAGCTAGGCTTGCTTCTGGGATTGGCAGCAGAGGGCACAGAGATGCCGTCTGGCTTGCAGGTGGCCAGGCCTGCTGAATCAGCAGACCTGCCCTTTGAAATGCTGCCTCTCTTCATCTGGAAGTACCTCCAGAGTCAAGCAGTGTCAAAGGTAAGCAGGGTGGGGCATTTGCTGAGGGCCCATAGTCCAGCAGGGGCCCACTGGCAACAGCAGCCTGGCGTTGTTGCTCCTCTTCCCCACTGCACCCTGTGTGGTCACCTGCCCCTCACTCTGGCCCAAATGATGGAGGAGGCAAGGAGGAGGAGCGGAATGTGCCACCACCTGTGTGCTCCCTGGATCTCTTCCTGTCAAGCAAGTGAACTGGAGGAATGTGCGAGAGGACGAGAAGCAAGAGCAGCTGGGAAGCATGGCAGCGAGAAGGCAAATTACCGGTAGCAGGACTACCGAGAGGGGCAGATCTGTATACACCACCTTCGCTTTTTTCGCAAGAGGAAAAATACAGGCTGTAAATATAACAAATCAATAATATTCTATACATTTAGTTACTGCAGATTGGGGATTCTAACCTAAAACTCTCAACATGCCTGGTAGTTCTGCAAAAAGACTCAGTCCAAAGAAGCCAAATGTTATTTCCAGGTTCTTACAGCAAAGTCAACTGTGGCAGATGATTTTTGTGTGTTTCTGGAGTTTATGTTTTACTTTCTGTTGTTTAATTATTGTGAATCAAAGGTGCTTAAAAACCTGTGAAACACCTAGGCAGGTGCAATCAGCCCCTGGTCTGCTTCCGCCTGCCCCAGCCTTATCAGAACTTAGGCTGAGATCGATCCTTTCTTGGATGACAGCTCTCATCCTTCTGTCTCTTTTGCACCTCAGGAGACTTAAGCACCTTGTCACACACTTGAGAGTGACTTACTCATCAGCTTGGGTGTTCTAACACCCCTGTGGTTTGCCTCTGGCTTAAAGATTAACCGATTAGCTTATGAAGTCCCTGTTTGCTGAGGACAACAGCAAAGTGCTTAAGTTAGGATAGAGTTCCCTCCAGATCGTGCAAGATGCCACAGCAAGGAACCACACAGACACTAATTTACTCTTCACCTGGAACTCTGCTGTGTTTTATTTTTGTCAGGAAGGCAAGAAGAGGTACCATGCATAGACTGGGGTCCCTGGGTATGCTCAGGGTGCAATGGTTGCCCTACAGCTTCTTTATCCCCCTCCATCCCCCACCCTAATCCTGAAATAAATCTGTCCATCATAGCAAAGCCCGGCACCCAGCAGACGGAGAAGACATATTAAGCTCTAACCTCACTGCTGCCAACCCCCAACTCACTTGCACCCACCCCTCTTCTGACCCGACCTGTGGAATCAGAAGCTCAGCCCCAGCTTCAAGGCACAGATGGTCAGAAGAACTAATGAATCACTCTGTGTATTTACCATGATGGTTCCTGCTGGGGAACATTTTTAATAAACAGTAGGCAGATCCTGCGACCAATCCAAGTGCCCCGTATTCCCCCTGTCTCTATCATGCACCAGCTCATGCACCCAGGGTGGTCCTATAATGAGACATTTGTCTTAAAAGCCAGTATTGACTGGAGGAAGGTATATATATCTGCATCCATATGTTTGGTTTTATGCAATCCACAGTGTATTTTTTAAAGCCAGCGAGCACCAGTATATTCCACTGCATGTAGCTTGTCTCTCTACCTTGGACAGAATCCAGATTTACACTAATGGAAATTGACTTTCCTGCCCCTTCCTTCCCAGGGCAGCCCCTCCAGCCCTCTGAAAATGCTGCACAGAATCAGAAGACCAAGCTGAGTTGTGGCATGGAGGGAGGTGGCATCTCCATGGAAGCCTTATCCGAGACACCAGATTCTCCTAGACTAAGCTGAGGATATGGGTGGACCTTGGCACCAATAATTAGACGCTACCTAACCACGTTCGTGGCATAATATTGGACCACATTTGTACGTGG